CCACAGCCGCTCGGGGCACAACGGCAGCGCCCCCCTGGGTGGCGGGGCCGGGGCCGCTCCCGCGATGAGAGCGCCCCTCCGCGCGTCGGCCCGCCGAGCTGCCCCCGAGGCCGTCGGCGCATGGCGGGCTCTCCGCGGGTGGCGCGCTCCTTCCTCCTCTTGCCCCTCCTCGTCCCTTCTCCTCATGCCCCTCCTCGTCCCTTCTCCTCTTGCCCCTCCTCGTCCTCCCCTTCCTCCTCCTCTTCCTCCTCCTCCTCTTCCTCCTCCTTCTCCTCCTCCTCTTGTCGTGGCCCAGACGCGCCGCCGAGAGAGAATATGGACCTGATGGGGTCCTGCGACGGCCTTGCTGTACTGTGCACCGTTTCTTCTCCCTTGTGTCGTCCGCCGCGCTTTGCCAGGACGGCCAGGGCGCGGCGTGCCTCCTTGCCCCAGGCGCCGCCGTGCGCTTCCATCACCATTGGGATGAAGGTGGTGCCGCCGGCGGTGCAGCTGCGCGCTGTGTCGAGGAACTGCCGTGTCTGCTCCTCGTAGCGCTCCGCGGCCGGCCCGGGCGCGGCGGCTGAGGCGGCCAGCAGGTCGCCCCGCAGCCTTGGAGCGACCGCGATGTCAAGGGCCCTCGAGACGCCGTTCCGCTAGCGGGGGATGTAGGCGTCCGCCGGGCGCCGGCCGCCTGCGTCGAGTCCGCCGCCGTCCTCCTCCGCTCCGGGCGGGCCCTCCCTCAGCGCGCGGGGTTCTAGCGGGTTCGGCCGCTCGAGCTCAGCGCCCAGGACGCCCGCGGCCTGCGCGGTTAAGAAGATTTGGTCGCGCAGGGCATTGTGCCGCTTCGCGCCGTCCCCGTGGCATGGGCACGCCAGCGCGCGGTCGCCGGCGAGGCAAAAGGCCTCCCGATTCGCCGGCCGCACCCGCAGGCGCCGCTGCAGGGCGACCTGCGTCCCGTGCTGGAAGTCACTGCCGACCGCAGCGCAATGCCGCGACTGTAGCCAGCCGCTGGCGCCGGGTGCGCTCACTAGCGAGAGGTGCGCTTCGGCGCTTTGGTGGCACAACACGTTCGAGCTCAGTCCTTGCGGCGGCGTCTAGCTCGTCGGAGAGCCCGCGTTGGTTGCCGTGCTGGCAGGCGTCGAAGTCTATCTGGTCCGCCTGTGGGAGCTGGGCGTTGTAGGACAGCGCGGCGGCCTCCAGCGCGTCGTTGTCGCCCGTGTCGTCGTCGGAGTAGCCAGCCCAGAACTGCCTGCGCAGCGCGGCAGCGCGGAGCAGGCCTCGCGGGAGGCCAGGTGAGCGGCTGGCGCGTGCCGCCCTGGTGAGCGCAGGCCCAGGCCGCCTGCCTTGAGGGAGAGCTGCGCCTGGGCCCAAGAGTCGTCCTCAGTGTCCTCCGGGGAGCTGCTGCTGAGTTGCCCTAAGCAGGCCCGCGCTGCGCTGTCCAGGGCAGGCGTGGCCCCCGTTTGTGCTGTGGGCGGGGCGACCCGCGCTGAGTAACCGAACCTGCAGTAGCCGGCATGCTGCCGCAGCAAGTGTAGCGCGACTTGGCACTTTTCCAGCGCGCCCAGTGCCTCGAGGAACCCGGTCGCCATGTCGACTCGCTCTTGGGTGTGCGCTCCGCAGAAGGCGTCGCTGCCGACTGACGCGCCCTGGATTTCGAAGCAGCCGTCTGTGAGCAGGGGTTCGCCAATATGTTGAAGATCGCTGGCTAGAGGCACATACGCTACCTCGGCCACGGCATGGCTGCGTCAGTTGCGATGCGTGGAGTGCAGAAGGATCAGCTGAAGCAGATGCGCAGCAGGTGGGGCCGAGTCCGTGCGCTGCAGCGTGGAGCGGGCAAGGCACGAGCGGCCGCCACGCTGTGAACGACGGGGGAGCTGTCATCCGTGGGCCACAGTGCAGATGCGGAGCGTGGCAGGCAGCTTCTGCGGCTTCAAAGGCGTCTGTTCCCTGACCCTGTGCCTGGCGGTGCTGAAGCAGCGGGACTTCGACCCCATCTTCCATGCGACGTGCAGTTCCTGCAGCAGCATTCCGGGTGGATTTGTGCCTTGCGTGGCTCGCCGTCGCATTTGCAGCGGGCTTGGATGGCGTCGAAGAGCCACATTGACCAGCTGCGAAGTGGTCTCACTTGGGCGTCGGCCCGTGACCGTTCTCGGCGTCGTGGTTGACACTACTGCGCGTGAGTTCGGACATGCTCAGCCTCACGATGCTTCTTGACGACCTCGGGAACCAGATCAGATGTCGCGGCTCAGCCTGAGCGAGGTGAAGCACTACATTATTCGGAGTCTGGAGCGCTGGCAGGGTCACCCGTCCTTGACCACCTGCCATGGACACCGCCACGTGGTGCAGGCGGCCAGCGGCAGCACATCTGGATGCGCTGAGGCAAGGCCATCGGCAACTCTTGTCTGCCGGGCTGCGAGGTGCACGGGCCACGCTGCAAGCCGACGGCATGTGGGCACCAGCTTGGCGTAGAGAAGCAGGCCCAGATGATTCAATTTGCGAGTTTCGTGGGCATCAGAACTCCAATTTGGAGCATGCGATTTTCTTCTGTGCAGCGCACGGGGCGCAAAAAGGTGAGGAACAGGACCCGTACCCTGACGACCTGCCGCAGGCGAGGAGGGACATCTGGAGCCAGGGGCAACGCGGCGCTGGAGCTGAAGTGGACTTCTCCCCCGTGGACTTGATGTACGTCATGCCGTTGAGGCCAGCCTTTCGGCCAGACGAGCCGAGCCAGTAGCCTGCAAAAGAATGGGGTGCGAAATCTTTGCCATGGCCCAGTAATTTGTACGGTGATGGGTCCTGCATTGATCGAAGCTTTCCTGAGGCCTGCTGCCGCGGGTGGGCCGCGATGGCCCCCTCGCCAAATCAGATCCCGAGGAAACGATGTTAGGTTGCCTCGGGCCCCCCGTCCAGAAGCCCCCTGGGGCCGAGCGGCTCGCGGCCTTGAAGGCCCTCGAGGTTCCCCCGTGGGTTCCGAAATTTGTGAAAGATCACCTTGCCTTAGCCAAGGAGGGGGATGTCTGTTGGGGCGCCATGCGCGTGCGACTGCTCCGCGCGCTTCGACATGGCGCCCGTTGCGCGAGTTGTATCAACAGGATCTCGATCGCATGCCCCGGCTCGTGTGTACCAAGGCCAGCCGTTGTGTGATGGAGGGACTTACTGAGGCGATCGAGGCGGGGACCGCGATATACATACACATGGTCTATACATATACATTTTTATATGTGTCTGAAACTGCTGGGCTGATTACTTCTCGAAGGTAGCCGGGCTGGATGGGATGTGTCGAGATCCGAACCGGTGATTCGCAACTTTGAGTTTCAGCTCCAGCAGTCTCGCCTCAGAATGAACTGTCCAGCTGTCCACCCTTGCAGTCCGCCGCCCGCTGCCGCCAGCAGAGCGGCAGAAGTGTTAAAACAAAAACCCACGACCTACGTGTGTGTGTGTGTGTAGATTTCTCCGGAGGAACCATCGGATGCAGATACTGCCGGAGGCAGGCCTCCACCGAGTCCGTCTTGATGTCCCTCTACTTCCGACCGTGCGATCCACAGATTTTCGGCCCAGGGCGCAACGTCCAAGATATCGTACGTGTGTGAATCTGAGAGCGGCGCGGCGCGCACACTGTTCGGCCGCATCGCCTCCCTACTGGTCTTGCCAGAGCCTGCGCTCCGAAACGTGAGGTTGGTGGGGCAAAACCAGCGAGCGCGGGTCGGGGGGGACGGGAGGAGGAGGAGGAGGAGGAGGAGGAGGAGGAGGAGGAGGAGGAGGAGGAGGAGGAGGAGGAGGAAGCGGACGGGTGCAGAGGGCGCTCGAGCAGGCGACTCGTTGTTTGCACCCCAAGGCTAGGGAGCGACTCGCTCGGCTGCTTTTCTTCTGGCGGCCGCGCTCGAGCTCGAACGGGAGCCGCCCGAGCAGGAGTCGGCCGCCTCCGGCTCGGCTGGTGCTCGGGTGTGTGCGGTGCTCGTGTGTGTGTGTGTGTGTGTGTGCGTGTGTGTGTCTGTCTGTGTGTGTATTCGCCTTTCGGTTGCCCCGATTAGCCTCACGCTGGAGCGGACTGCCTCTGCCTCGCCGCCGACGGAACAAGCGTGTGTGTGTGTGTGTGTGTGTGTGTGTGTGTGTGTGTGTGTGCCGCACACGTGTGCGCGGCGCGTGCGTTGGCGCGTGCGTCTTTGTATGGACTGCGCGTGCGGCTGGCGCGCGTCCTTGTCTTGCGAGGCCCAGTCGGGACGCTCATCTCCGCTCTCGGCACTGCTCCTTTGCTCCCCCTCACGCTCTTCCCCTCCTCCTTCTCCTTGCCCCCTCCTCCCTCCTTCCTCCTCCTTTTCCTCCTTCTCTTCGTGCTCCTCCTCCTCCTCCTCCTTCTCCTCCTCCTCCTCCTCCTCCTCCTCCTCCTCCCTCCTCCGTGCCACCGTGCTGATTTCAGCAAATTCCAGCGAATTCCTTCTCTCTCCTCCCCCTCCTCCTCTGGAGCCGTGCTCTTCCCTCCCCTCCTCGCCCCCCCTCCCCGGCACCTTCCCGCCCGCGCACCTCCAGCATGGTGCCGCCGCCGCTGCCGCTGCTGCTGCTCCTCCCTTCGGCCTCTCTGCCCCTGCTCCTGCCCCACCCCTCTTCCCTGCGCCCTCCTCCCTGCGGTGGGCTCCCGCGGCGTTGGCGCGCCGGCGACGCCGCCGAAGGCGCTGAAGTCTGCATTCCTCGGGGGCGACGATGGGGGCGAGACTAGCCCAGGGGAGAGCAATGCGTGTATTCAGGTGCGCCGCTGAGCGATGTCTTCGAAGAGAGGCTCCCGGGCGAGTGCGTGTGATGCCCGCCCCTGGGCTACTCGCCCCTGTCGTCGCCGCCGCAGTCCTGCGACGCGGAAGGGACCGATGGACACAGCAGCGCCACCATACCCGACTGGATTCAACCCTGAACGGTCGGGGCCGCGATCCGTTCAAGGTTGAACGATCGACGCGGTGTCAAAAACCTTGGCGCGCCCCGACGCCGCACTAGGCCACCGTGACCCCCCTCCAGAGCCGCAGTGGCCCATCATGGTGCCCACTCGAACCTCGGAGTTCGATCCTTCGAGGGAGGCCTGTGTCATCCCAGACATCCGTGGCCCCCCTTCCGCCGCTGCTCCTGATCAGGGGTCCAAGAGTCGACGCCTGGACCTCAAGCGGGACACGTCCGCGGACCCAGCCGCGGCCATGAGGGCGCCCCAGGACGATCACAAACGTCCAGAAAGCAGACCTCGATCAGGGGCCCAGTTCGATCCGATCGATCCGAGTCGATCTCGGCTCCAGCTGGCCCGATCCGATTCGGTTCTGATTCTCGGTCGTCGCGCGGTGCTTGCGGGGCGCTGTTGTGCATCCTGGCGCAGCCGATCCGCTTCGACCTCGACTCCGTGCCGATGCGGCCCGACTCGACACATATATATATATATGTGTGTATATATATATGTATGTATATATATATATATGTGTATATGTATATGTATATGTATATGTATAGGTATGTATGTATGTATATATATATATATATATATTACGTGTCCTCCGATCCGACCTCCGACTCCCCGGCGCGACGCCGCCTGCCCGACGCCTCGATGCCCGGAGCTCCAGCGCCCCTCCCGGCCGCTGCGCCCCTTCCCCGAGCCCCCCGCGGCAGGCGGGGCCCGCGGCCGCGCCTCCGCCGGTGGCCTGCCCCCGCGCGCCGCCCCCGCCGCCCGAGCAGGCCGGGGGCGCCGGGCCGCCGGGCCCGCCGCGGGAGGCGCGCCACCGGCCGAGCGGCCGCCAGCGGGCGGCGGGGCGGATGCCTATACAGGGCGGGCGGGGGGAGGGCGGGCGACGGGGCGGCTGCCTATACAGGGAGGGCGGGCGGATGCCTATACAGGGCGGCGGGGCGGATGCCTATACAGGGCCCTCTGGGGGGGCGGAGAGGCTCGGGCGGGGTTGGAATACGGGGGGGGAGCGGGGCCCTCGCCGGGCCCTCGCCGGGCACTCGCCGGGCCCTCGCCGGGCCGTCCAGAAACGACGCAGGACGAAAAACCGGCCCTGCATGGGGACAGGGTCGGGACTTGTGGGGACGCCGTCCTGACAAAGTCAGGACGTCGCATGTCTGGGGATGCACAAGGCGGGCTCCGGGAGGTCCGAGAGACTCGGGCGGGGCCAGGACGGGGAGAGAGCCGTTCTCAGAGCGTTCCGGAACGCCCTCGGAGCGTTCTGGAACGCTCTCGGAGCGTTCTGGGACGCTCTGCGATGGCCGCGGCGCCCGAGGCGTCCTTCAGAGCCGCAGGACTCCCAGAGATTCTCGATCTGTTCTCACTCCATGATCTCCTCATCCCGCCGTCGTCTCAGAGACAATTATCGGATTGGGGTGATGGGGTTGGGAGAAGTGGTCAGATCATCTGTGTTATCGAGTATGTTGATCGTGCTCGTTGCACAGTTGTACCCTGTATCTTCCCACCCCCTTCCTCCCAACTCGATCATTCTCGTTCTAAGAGTGGCGACGCAACATGTGCACATGGCGGGTTCCAGAAACACTTGACCCCAAAATGTTGCCATCTCCGATCGGACTAAGACAGTCAGGCCCGACGGTGGAAGCACTCTGATGCAAGTCTTTTGTCAGGTTTCGATCGACGTTTCGTCCCTTGTCGGTGCACCTCACCACCGCGCGCTGCGAAACGGATGCGACGAACTAGGGCTAGCCGCCTTCATTTCGACCGCACAATGACCGCGTTTAGGGAGGAATTTGGTTTTCCATATCGCATGTCCTTTCCCTTCCTCCCTTCCCCTCCTGTTCCTCCCCCAGCCTCCTCGGCCCCTTCCCCCGGTGAGGCGTTGTTTCGTGTATCTCCTCGGGTATGGGAACCCGGACGGCCATATATAAAGTTAAGTATCCCAGTGCGACCCTACCTAGGAGTTGGAACCCCTAGGAAAGCAGCATTAGTAGTAACAGTAACGCTAAGCTAAAGCTAAGCTAAAGCTAAGCTGAAGCTAAGCTAAAGCTAAGCCACAGCTAAGCTAAAGCTAAGCTAAAGCTAAGCTAAAGCTAAGCTAAAGCTAAGCTAAAGCTAAGCTAAAGCTAAGCTAAAGCTGAGCTAAAGCTAAGCTAAAGCTAAGCTAAATCTAAGCTACAGCTAAGCTACAGCTAAGCTAAAGCTAAGCGAAAGCTAAGCGACAGCTAAGCTACAGCTAAGCTAAAGCTGAGCTAAAGCTAAGCTAAACGCTAAGCTAAACGCTAAGCGAAACGCTAAGCGAAACAAGCTAAGCTACAGCTAAGCTACAGCTAAAGCTAAAGCTAAAGCTAAAGCTAAAGCTAAAGCTAAAGCTAAAGCTAAAGCTCCCAGGGGACTGGGGGGAACCGCTCCCAGGGGACCGGAGGAACCGCCCGGGGCGCTTTCCATTGCCCGGCCCCTTTAAGCTAAGAGAGTAAGAACCCTTCTAGGCAGAGCCTAGGTGGGGAATATAAAGTTGCATTACCATTGTCAGCTATAGTTAGTAATTAGAAGACGTGAGGTCAGATGACCGTCTTCTTTACGGTGCATCATATTGAAATTGTTGTAACTGCCCCAGCGGATCCGCAGCAAATGCGCCGCCCCTGCCCCCAAAACCACCAAACCACTCTCAGGGTCCTCCGTTCCAAGTTGGTGGACCACTGCCAGGTGCGCTGCCGGCTGGAGTCCGTGCCAGACGGACCACCTGGGCGGGAAGCGCGTCCATATCCTCTGCCTCGCTTTCTGGATTCCCCGGCCGCAGCAATATGAGCGACAGAAGAAAACGTTGTCGACTCCGTCGCCATTTGCGCGTAAGTTGCCTGCGCCAGGTCGTGCCTAAGCGCCCTCGTTTCCGATGTGGTCTGCCAGCGCAAGATCGCTTTGCCATCTTGCGTGCCCTCAGATCTGACGTAGCAAATCGAATGCAAGATTGCAAACCATCTCCACTGGAGTCCCGGACCCAATCTTCCTGCGTCATGTTTCGAGCTGGGATCCGTGAGGTTCCCCGGGCCCGAAGTGTGACGGGAACGCCCAGTGTGAGAAAGTTGCAGCGCCAGGATGCCAGGGTGAGCCCCGTTTCTGCGTGTGGCGGCGCACAGGAGGTGGGCAGGGGGAGGGGGGGAAGGCTTCTTCGAGGGAGGCCTCATTACACCAGAGAGAACTCCAATCAGTGGATGGTTTTCGCTGAGGAGATCGACCGGGAACCTGGGAGCCCGTGGACCCAGAACCCACCGAAATCGGCCCAGAACCAATAGCTGGGAACCCGGGGACCCGGGAACCCAGCCTGCTGCCAAACTCGGCGGGAAACTTTCGCCAAATCGTTCAACCTCCGCTGGGACCCCGCCAGTGCAAGCACTGCGATTGGGGAACTTCTATAGATATGAGGCCCACGGCTCCTGAGAAGCAGCCTCCTTCTAAGCAGCCTTCCCCCCTGCCCCCAGCAGCCTCCTTCTAAGCAGCCTCCTTCTAAGCAGCCTCCTTCTAAGCAGCCTCCTTCTAAGCAGCCTCCCCCCTAAGAAGCAGCCTCCTTCTAAGCAGCCTCCTTCTAAGCAGCCTCCTTCTGCGCGCCGCCGACGCTTGTCGCCCGCATGGGCCTTCGGCGGCCCGGCGCGGCTGCCCCCGCACGCGGAGCCCCCCGCGGCATCCGCGGCATCCGCGCGGGGGCCCCAGCGCCCCGCCGAGGAGCGCGGCCGCCCCACCGCCGGCCCTGGGAGGGCGCCGACCGCGGGCCCGAGCTGTACCGCCGCGCGTGCGGCGCGCCGCTCTGGGGGCCCTCGGAGGGGTTCGACCGTCGTCGTCGTCGTCGTCGTCGTCGTCGTCGTCGTCGTCGTCGTCGTCGTCGTCGTCCTCGTCGGCCTCGTCGGCCGCGGCCGCGGCGGCGGCGGCGGAATGATTATCTAATGGCCTTTGGCTCATTCCGCCACCTTGCTTGGGCTGTGGGTCAGTGTTCTCAGGGGTGCTTGTTGGGGTCTCTTCGGAGCGCTCCCGGGTGCCTCTTGGGGGCAGTTTCGGGGCCTCTCGGGAGCCTCTTGGGGGCCTCTCGGGGGCCTCTTCGGGCCTCAGGGGCCTCCTAAGGGCCCTCGAGGACTTTCGAGCACGTTCGTAAGAGGAGAGCAGTATAGATCGGCACATTCTTCGCCAAAGGCGTTGATCACAATCTCGTCCTTCATCTCGTCGTGTTTGCAACATGATTGTGCAACACGCTGCTGCATCTACAATATAGTAGTGCACGCCCCTGGGACACAAGTAGTAGTAGTAGTAGTAGTAGTAGTAATAGTAGTAGTAGTAGTAGTAGTAGTAGTAGTAGTAGTAGTAGTAGTAGTAGTAGTAGTAGTAGTAGAAGTAGTAGTAGTAGTAGTAGTAGTAGTAGTAGTAGTAGTAGTAGTAGTAGTAGTAGTAGTAGTAGTAGTAGTAGTAGTAGTAGTAGTAGTAGTAGTAGTAGTAGTAGTAGTAGTAGTAGTAGTAGTAGTAGTAGTAGTAGTAGTAGTAGTAGTAGTAGTAGTAGTAGTAGGTAGTAGTAGTAGTAGTAGTAGTAGTAGTAGTAGTAGTAGTAGTAGTAGTAGTAGTAGTAGTAGCAGTAGTCGTAGTATTCGTAGTAGTCGTAGTAGTCGTAGTAGTAGTAGTAGTAGTAGTAGTAGTAGTAGTAGTAGTAGTAGTAGTAGTAGTAGTAGTAGTGGTAGTAGTGGTAGTAGAAGTGGTAGTGGTAGTAATAGTACGTGTC